GACGAACACTACAGTACGGCATCGTGAGACAGAGATGGTTATGCCTCCACTTTATCCCAATGAATGGGCTCTGACTCCAACCCCACTTTTGGTTTAAACCTTGGCTTCCCCGCATTGCAGACCCTGGCGGTTGGTTTTGCTGATCGATTTGATTATTATCTATTTTCACTGGGTAACTCCTCTTCTGGGCCACATCACAACCCTTTAATTTTGTGCTCTCTGACGACACCCGCACCTATCCGGCTTAGAGCCTGATTTAGGGTTCTATCTGCCCTCATAATCTATTCTCTAGCTCTCCCCTTTATATACCTTCCTAATTATGCTTGTTGGTTGTTCATTCTTTGCTTTTGCTTCATTAGATAGCATTGCAAGTCTTAGCATTTTTTCATTTTTACAAGGGAATGTCATGTTAAATGCTTTTCTCTCTAATTCGAGAAAAAAAGTTTTCTACTTGCTGCTAGCTCCGCTGCCCGAGTCTTCCTTATTTTAGGTGTGCCATCCTTCCTTTCTCAAACCAATGTTTGCAAGGTGATTCATTTGCATCTTTTTTCTTGTGTGATTGTGATTCATTTGCATTTTTCTCTCAAATCTCAACATATTCAGTTTTTATTGGTAATTGCTAAAGGATACTAATTACAGATAGACAACCATGATACTAGACCGACTCCATTTTTTTTTTTTTTTTCATTTTCAAGTGTTTCATGTTACTTATTGTTCTGGAATTATCCCCTATTTGCTTGACAAACTGTCAGGATACACCTAAAGTAATAAAATTTACATTAGTTAAGTTTTGGATTTGTATAAGATTATATTTAATGTATTATTAGTATATAAATTTAATATGTTAACTGTTAATAAATTAAATAATATTATTTTATTAATGAATAAATATTAATTTTTAAAATAAATATGCAAATAATTAATATATTTTTTAAAAATTTATTTATTAATAAAGTGATATAATCTAATTCATCTTATTAATAAATTATTTAATTTACTCATAATATATATAAGTTATATATTGACACTAATATAAACCAAAACCTATATATATTGTGATTTTACATTTAAACTGAGTTACTTATTTGCAATTAATTTTAGGTTAGACAGCACGTGTTGAAAATTTAGCCTAAAGTGAATTATCTCATCTCACCTATCACTTGTTCCTTCGCTTTAAATTGCACCTTTCAACACTTCATACATTTGGGACAATAAATTAAGAGATCATATGTAGATCCTCTTGAAAAAAAGAGTCCAATACCTATAGTCAATCATTAAACTTTGATCCATCCAATGAATTTGTGGACGTAATTGATGGGTTAAAGAATCCAACTATAAATTGAGAGACGTTTGGTACAAGCTATAGCAGCTCAAACGGTACTCCACTCAAATTATCTCAGACAGTCTACATATTCATTCTCTCATTTCAAATCTGGTATATGATTTGTTGTTCTTTTGTTGGAGATTATATATATTAATTTCTTGCTGTTTCGGATCTCTTTCAAGGCAGCAGCCTCCATCTTCTATTATCTTTTTGACCTCTTCCTTTATTCCAAGAGTATTTGTGTTCTTAGTCTTAGAAATTAGAATAAGTACTTCTTCATAATACAGTTCTTATGGTTTGATTGGCGTCCTCCTCATCCTTTACACAGAGGCTAGTTATCAAAAGTTTAATCAATTTTGTGTTGCGTTTGATGAGTAAAAAAAAAGGCAAGATATGCACTGAACTTGTTAAGGTTGGAAACATTATTGAAGAACTTAGCTAGCTAGGGACATTTGCTTCAACCGTTGAAAATGAGGTTGATCGTTGCAAGTAATATGTTGGAATTTAAATCTCATTATTTTGGATTCTTTGTTTAGTTAATTAGAAGAGATATCATATGGGAGACTAATATTTAAATCAGAAACAATCATTAACTGATTATTAATTAGTGATCAGAGACGGTCTTAATTTCCGTAACACTAATATCACCGTTTCCTTCCCCAGCCACTCGCTGAAGCTTGATTCTTCAACCTTGATTCTTGAAATAGGCCAAAATAGTAGAGCAGGAGTCAACCAAGAATACTTTCATATAATTCGGTGCAACTCACGTGGCAGACAAGGTCTTGCTAGTCAGAGCAAAAAGATATATTATCCTCACTGCCTGCCATTTTTTTTGCTGCTAGCTACCTCAAATTTCCACAAGAAAATTATATCTATGCGGATTCTATGGTCGTAAAATTAATTTCTCCTACTGCTTGCGTTATCCACTGCCATCACTATTGATGACTGTCGAGTGGTCATCGTGCCTTTTTCATGCTCTTTATAGACTATATAAACCAGCCAAACCAAACCACATCGCTTAGCGCCATCGTTTGTCTGGCAATTCATGTGCTTGCAATACCCTCATCATGGTGATTGCCATCTTTATCAAATCTCTCCTAATGATATGTTTGTTTTCTATTTCAGTTAATGACTTAATGGGTTTTTTGAAGGAAAAGGGATTCGAATCCTACCAGAGACACATGTACTCATGATGCCAAATGCTTGAAAGCAGCGATTTTTTTTTTCTTTCTATATCTTAGATAAAAACTGTCATTCTATTCATTTTACACAAGCACTTATATAAGTTCGAAATGATTTACTATTTAATTAGCGGGTTGACATCTTTACTTTCCTCCATCATCTCTCTTAATTTGCCTGTAACACAAGAACAAATATAATTAGACATATGCTATAAACATAGTATTTATACATATATTTATTTATATAAGTTTTCTTCTTTAACTAATTCTTGTTCCAATAATAACTGAGATATTTTGCATTTGGGTTTTATTTCCTAGGGACAGAATATGATTATAGTAATGGTGAATTGGGTGCGAGAGACATTCATATTTTTCATTTTAGCAATATTTTCCAAGGCAATTGGCACAAATGCTTACTCGAGAAGAAGTGCACCAGCTGACAGTGTCCCTAACGAGTGCTTGAGCTGGAGAATGGCGGTGGAGACCAACATGTGCGTGGATGGCGCACCGTCCCAACTCATTGCCTTGGCTACATTGAAACTTACATGAATTGGCGGGCAATACGAGCAGGACGTTAACTATATCGTGGAACAAATAGAGAGCTACGTTAGGATCTAGTTGTGGGTGGCGATGGCATGGATGCTTGGATCCTGGATGTTGATGACACCTGCATCTCAAATATCTTTTACTACAAGGGAAAGAAATACGGGTACTAATTTTAATTTGCTACCTCAATTAATTATTATCAAGGTTTAATTTGATCAATAGATCCTTCCTGGCTAATTGAATTTCACTTAATTTGTGAGCCATATATATAGGTGTGACCCTTATGATCCTTCGGCTTTCAAGGCATGGGCAATGAAGGAGGGGTGTCCAGCATTCCTGCTGTTCTTGGATTGTTTACCAAGCTGATCGACAGCGGATTTAAGGTGTTTCCTGTAACTGGAAGAGACGAGGAGACGCTAGCCCCCTCCACCATTGCTAATTTGCATAACCAAGGATTTGTCGGCTATGAAAGGGTGATTTTTAGGTAAGACGCGTGCATTATTGGTACACCAACTTTTACTTTTCTTCTTTTATGATATGTGGGGTATTAATATCTTGGAAAGGTCAATGTCTCTATGAGGAGAAATTTCCAGGAAGCTGACGCATGGACACAGAAAGCTAACTTGCTTGCTTTGAAACATTAAGAGAAGAAGGTCAATTAGATTCCAAAAATAATTTGGAAATGAATAGTTGCAAACACATATTAATTACTTAATACTACTTCCAGTTAGCATAAATTTCAGATACTATTTATAACATTTGAATCATAAATTACAAAATAGGCTTAGCTAATTAAGTTTTATTAATGTAATGCTGCTTATAGTTGTGGAATTTTGTCATATGTAGTCAACGTTCATGCAAGTCTTGATTTTATTATTATTATTGTTATCTTAATTTGGAGTTATCAGACACCCAAATGTTTTAGATAAGGAAAGACACATCGATTCAGGTTCCTCTTCATCCTAAGCTGCCAAACCACGCAACTTGACATACCTGTCCGGTCTTGAAGTGAGAATCATTGTTAGCCAAATTACTATCATGAAGATTGAAGTGATGGGTATATTTGGAGGCTAATCAAATCAATGAGACATTTAAACCAAGTAATGGATTGATTAAAATCGTTTTTAATTTGTTTTTGTTTCCAAATTAACAGGACCCAACCTTTCAAAGGGAAAAGTGCGGTGGTTTTCAAGTCTGAAATTCGAAAGCAATTAATGGAAGAAGGGTACAGGATATGGGGGAATGTTGGCGACCAGTGGACTGATTTGCAAGGAGAATGTTTGGGCAACCGAACTTTCAAACTACCGAATCCAATGTATTGTGTTCCTTAATGAATCCAAAAACAATAGGGAATGCCCCTGCCTCCGCCTCTGCCTCTGCAATAACACTTGACATTGGCCTTCTCACCAGCAATGGGCTTCTTCTTCTTCATGTTTACTCGTTGACCAAAATCTCAACCTACATTTGACGTGTAATCCTTGGTCACAATGAATTAATTAAGTAACAATCGTTAACCATTTATAGAAAAAAAAAATAAAGAGAGGAGCAAATCAATGCTCACTTGGTATTTTCAAATAAAAAGAAAAAACTATTCACACCGATTAATTCAATTGATAAGAATTTTGTTATTAATCACGTAGGATTAAGCTCAAAGCAAACTTTCGACCATGTTAAAAAATTGTTTATAAATTTCAAACTAAAGATTACAAGAGTTGATCCATGTTTCATTAAAATATATTTATAAGAATTAAAAAACTAAAATTTTAAATTGAACATATACGATAATTAATTGGTATATAGAAAAATAATTTTTTTTCATTTTTTAATAAATAAATTAAAATATCATTCAAAATTTGGAATCATTCAAGGTCCAAAACAGAAATAAAGAATTTGGCAGGAAATTTCGCCATAGACACGGGAGGGAAGCAGTTTTGTTAGCTTCCCAACGTACAGAATTGACTAAATAAAAAGAAAAAGAATCTCATTCTCATTATAACTTGATAAATCCTATTTGATTGATTTGTTATTAATTAAAAAATCCTTAGCAATCAATTAGCAAATTAAAAAAAAATAAAGAAGAATGAATGATGGAGATGTGTCAAGGCAAATTCAGCAGATGGTGAGATTCATCCGCCAAGAGGCTGAGGAGAAAGCCAATGAGATTTCTGTCTCTGCTGAAGAGGTTGTAATTGATCTTCTTCTTTGTTTTGATATATATATATATATATATATATATATTCACACACACATGCACACACACACTAGTATTTTCCTAGGCATGCATCCAGCTAATAATTATAGACCTGTACATATAAGAATCAGGAATTTAACATTGAAAAGCTGCAAATAGTTGAAGCTGATAGGAGAAAGATCAGACAAGAGTATGAGCGGAAGGGAAAGCAGGTGGAAATTCGCAAGAAAATGTGAGTATCTTGTTATATATATATATATATATATAAATATTGATGAAGTAAATATAATTGAGTGCTTGCAGTGAGTACTCAATGCAACTGAACGCGTCGAGAATAAAAGTGCTTCAAGCACAGGATGATTTGGTGAACTCCATAAAAGAAAGTGCGAGAAAGGAGCTGGTGCGTCTCTCAAATGACAAAAGGGGATATGAAAAGCTCCTCAAGGCATTGGTTGTTGAGAGTCTGGTGAGGCTGAGGGAGACAGCAGTGTTGCTGCGGTGCAGAGAGGTCGATCGAAAGGTGGTTGAGTCGGTTTTAGAAGAAGCAAAACGAGAGTACGCTGACAAAATCAAAGTAGCAACCCCTAAGGTTACCATCGACAATGTCTACCTTCCACCGCCTCCCACCAAGGCTGATTCCCATCAACCTTACTGGTACGTAATATCATTTTCTGCCTTCCTGCCTTAATCGGGAGTAACATGAAAACCTTATTGCTTTGCTTGGTTTATACATGCATGAAATATATGAAATAGCTCGGGCGGAGCTGTGTTGGCTTCAGAAGACGGAAAGATAGTGTTGGAGAATACTTTAGATGCACGCCTGGATGTTGCTTTCAGACAGAAACTACCTCAGGTCAGGTTTATATTTACTACTAACCATACAATCAATATTCACCACTTATTACCAAGCTTTCTATTTTATCATTCTTCGACTTCAAGCCTATCATTGTTGCCCAAAAAGAAAAAAAGGAAAAAGAATGAAAGGAACACATTACATATATATATTGCATTATATAATATACAATCATAGATTAAATTATATATATTTATATATACGAACTTGTGATGAAATTTTTTGGTTTAATTTGTTATTTATGTTATATAATCATGCAGATTCGAAGGTGTCTGGTGGGACAAGGAGGTGCATGATCAATTTCTCTTGCTGTATATGGATTGCATATTTCAGCTAGCCTTCATGATTTTGAAGACATAGGTTAATAATGTTTAATTTGATCAGAAAGTAGTCCTATCAATCAAAAAAGAATAAATTTGAGAAAGTAGTATATGCTACTTACTTTCTCCATCCCTTTGTCAATTTGAAATATGTTCTCTTCTCTGCTAATAACTTTGGAATAAACTTAATTTGGCTGCTTCTATATAACATGTATTACATATCCGAAAGCAGCCTCAGGCCCTTTTATCTGTTTCTTTCTTATTGAGAGGCCCGTTTCATGGTGGGCTCTGGGATGCTAAGTTTGGACAAATTCAGGATAGGTATTGAAGGAGCCCATAGTCAAGTCAAGGCTGAACATAGTATCACGAACCTAAGGGGGAGTCCTGAATCTCACATCGAACATAATAAGAAGGTCATTAGGGTATAAAAGGGTTCACACCATCTTCTCCTTGTGAGGCGTCTTTTGTAGGACAAAACCGTGAGGCAGGGGGGCCAGAGCAGACAATACCTCACAAGGGTGTGAACCGTGGCAGGAAGGCTGATCTGGGACGCCAGAAGGGTGAATGCCCGGGTCCCGGAACCGTGTGGGTTTGGAGCTTGAGTCTCGACCCGTGACAAATGGTATCAGAGCCAGCCCTAAACCGTTCGATCCACGCCAAGCACCTCAAAGGAGGTAGGTAGAGTGACCAGCCTCCGTGACGAGGGCGTCACGAGGTTGGGTGCGGGAGAATGTCACGGACCTAAAGGGGAGTCCTGAATCACACATCGAACATAATAGGAAGGTCACTGGGGTATAAAATGATTCACATCATCTCCGCCTTGTGAGGCACCTTTTATAAAACAAAATCGTGAGATTAAAAAGATCAGACAAAAGTATAAACCGTGGTAAAAAGACTGATTTAAGACATCAAAAAAATAAATATCTAGATTTTAAAATCACACGAATTCGAAACTTAAGTCTCGAACCACGGCAATAGCACATTGCGTTAACCACTTACAAAAAACATAAAGACAATCGCCGATTGCAAATTGTCATGTCAGGAAATCAATTTTCAAGTCCTTTTCTATTCTATCCTATCGTATCTTATCCGTATGTATATCCAAGGCATTTGTGCTTTCTGATTGGGAAAAAGAATATCTACTTTTGCTAGAATAGCTGATCATGACATGATTGTGCCCTTGACGTGTAAATAGAGACATTGACGTGTAAAAGAGAGACTTGGGCTGCTTTGTTACATGAAGGGTCTTAGTGTTAACCAACCAGCAACAACTATTTAAATCAAATGAAGTCCAGATTGAATAGATCTTATCATCAAAATAATATTGTATTAGTTTTAATTTACGATATCATAAATTCTTTTAAATGCTAGATGAGATTTGTCAACCAAGTACTTGGAATCTTTTCCCTCCCTCCCACGGAAAATAATTGTGACTTTATAGAAAAATTCCACGGAATCTTCAATGTTACTTTCTAATAGTATACATGCAATGCAGGGCCAAGTTCCTGGTATGGCCACGGTTGTGAAGCTGATAAGGACTCTTCTACATAGGGATGGTAATATAACACTTTTTGCTGATAGTCAAGGTATCAAACCCTTTAAATTTAACTTAATTGCGATGAAATTAAATTGAATTCCAATCTGAAATGTTAAACCAGATCGGCCCTTTTGTTACTGTTGACAAGTTATACCATATGTTTATATGTATATAAATTGTTGAATTGCTTCAAATAATTTTGTTATATTTCATTGCAGTCGTGGAATTATGGGGATTTAGGATTTGAACCTGATCCAGAGGGCATTAAGGGTATATATGTTTTGGTATCCAAGATATTAATTGCCATTTCATAGAAATGTTTATCACATCATAGAAAAACAACTTGGCGAAATTTTGGTGAAGGTCTTAATTTGTTCATATCACTGTCTTAATCTATTCTAATTGCTGACAAGTAAACGTGTAAATCAATAATAAATTAATTAATTAATTATTTTAAATTTTGGTAAATGTCTTAATTTGTTCACATCACTATCTTAATCTATTATAATTGCTCACAAGCAAACGTGTAAATCAATAATAAATTAATTAATTAATTGTTTCAAAAAAATAATAAACAAATTGTGATTTTCGATTTCAAGACTTAACCAAAATATAAACTTTAAATCACACAAGAAATTAACTGCATTGTTATGTTCATTTACTAATTTATTATGATATTAATTTCATGATTTATTGGTGAAGTATGAAATTTTCAATCTTTTCTTTTTAATGAATATTCTTTTTGTCATTTATTTTTATAATACTTACTTTAATTATTTTTCATTCCATTGACTTTGAAAGTAGAATAACTTTCATAGAAATGTTTTGAGAAAATCTCCTGCAACACTTTGAATTGTACTGAAAAACCTAGCATCTAAGATGTTCTTTAGTCATTGAAACTAAAAATATATTATTTTTGTGTTGAACATTGGATTTGTGTGAAGATGTTGTTTATAGTATGCATGATGAATTTTCAAGATTTTTTGTGTCATTGATGTCTATTTGTTAAAATAGATTAATAATTACCTCATGTTATCCTTTAGATAATTTTGTAAAGTATACCAATAATTGCTCATGTAATCAATCAATAAAAATATTTAACACTTTATAGGACTTTAGTTGTTTATAAGATTTTAATTACTTATATTTCAATTTAGACACTAAGATTATATTTTGTGAACCTTTATGATGATGCAATTACGGTTAAAAAAAATGAACAAAGATCATTTTTTTTTATGTATTCTTGTTTAGATGTAAATGAATACATTAGTCAAAACTTCCACGATAATGTGGATAAATTTATTGAATATACTTTTTCTCAACCATATTTTGTAAGTAATGGGAATATTAGGTGTTTTTATGCCCAATGTGAGAACAAAAGATTTTTAAAAGCAGATGCTGTAAGTGAGCACTTTTATTATAAGGGATTTACTTTTGATTATAAGAGTAAGGTCTCACATGGAGAGTTAGAAATAGGACAACCATTAATAAATAGAAACAATTTTGAATCAATTAATGAAGTAAGAACAAAAAATTTGTATACTAAAAATGGTTATGGATATTACCTATCTTGATTTTGGGGTGGATGCAAGTGAGATAAGAGTTGACGAGGAAGATCCAAGTGCAGATGTAGCAAGCTTATAATATTTGTTGAATGATGTAGATGAACCATTGTGGTTAGAATGTACAAAACACACAATCCTCTTAGCTATGTCACAACTTTTAAATTGTAAATCAGAGTTTAATATGGGTGAATCATGTTTTAATCATCTGATGAGCATAATGAAAGATATGTTGCCGATGGATGATAAATTACCAAAAAACTTCTGTACAATGAAAAAAAGGATAATGAAACTTGGATTGGGTTATAAGAAAATTCATGTATATGAAAACAATTACATGTTGCTTTATAATGAAGTAGTAAATTTGACTTATTGTTAGTATGTGATCATCCTCAATATTTAATGAAGAAATTTGTAATGAGACAAAAAAATGAATTCTTTATAAAATCTTATATTATATGCCACTGAAATCGAGAATTTAAAGACTTTATATGTCAACTAAAACTATTAAATATATGGCATAGCATGCCTATAATCCAAGTTATGATGATGTGCTTTGATATCCTGTTGATGGTGAAGTTTAGGAACATTTCAATTGCAGGCATAAATCATTTGTACGTGAACTTCGAAAGGTAAGACTAGGATTATGTGTGAATGGTTTTTGTCTATTTGGTTCAAGTGTGAAACCATACTCTTACAAACTAGCAATGCTATTGGAGCATAATTTTGCCACCATGGTTGTGTATGAAGAAATAAATATATCTTTTTAAATATGGTTATTTTAGGAAAAAATAATCTAGATCAAAATATAGATGTTTTCTTGAGACCCTTAATAAAGAAGTTAAAAATATTATGGTCAAATAGTGTTGTGACATATGATGCTTATAAAAAAATAAGATTTTCATTTGAAGGTAGCTCTTTTATAGATAATTAATGATTTTCCTAAATATGGTATATTGTATGGATGAAGCATTCATGGAAACTTATCATGTCCTTATTGCATGGGACAATAAAATTTTTTTGATTGGCTTATGATAAAAAAACCTTGCTTTTTCGATTTTTATCATCAGTTTTTGCCTTTTGATCATGCTTTTACAAGACAAAAAGATAAATTTCAAAAAGAGTTTAGCGTGACTCCTTTGTTGTTCCATTATTTGGTGAAAAAATTATGGCTTGGTTAGATAGTTTCTATGATATCACATTTGGCACGAAATTTAGTTATAAGAAGTTAGACGATTTAAGCAAAAGTCATAATTAGGTGAAGAAAATTATATTTTGAGAGTTGTCCTATCGGCATATTAATCTTAATTGGTACATTCTTGATATGATGCATATTGAGCATAATGTCTTTGCAATATCTTTAACACAATGATAAATGTTAAAGGTAAAACCAAAGATAGCATAAAAGCTAGACTAGTTCTTAAGGTGTATTGAAAGCAACCTAAGTTGGAATTGATTGAAAGGAATGGAAAAATTTTCATGCCTAAAGCTTCTTACATTTAAGCAAATAGTAAAGAACAAAAATGTTTGTGCATGGTTTAAACAAGTAGGATTTCTTGATGATTTTACATCTAACATAGCTCGATACTTAAATATGACTGACTGCAAGTCTTATCGGATGAAAAGTCATGATTGTTATATTTTCATACAGTGATTGCTCTCAATTGCCTTTGTGATTTGCTTAACTCTATTTAGGATGCAATTATTGAGCTATCTCATTTTTTTAGAAATCTATGTTTTACAAATAGAAGAGTGAAAGCACTGAAAGTGTTTGGAGACTCAGCTCTAGTTATATATCAGTTGAAAAGAGAATGAGAGATGAGAGATTCAAAACTCGTTTCATATCATAAGTATATTCTAGAGTTGACGAAATAATTTAAAGATATCCAGTTTGACCATTTACCTCGAGAAAAGAATTTGATTGCTGATGCATTGGCTACTCTAGCTGCAATGATTCGAATTAATGATAATATTGACATTCAGCCCATCAAACTAAATGTTAAAGATATACCAACTTATTACTCTAATGTAAAAGAAGAAGAAGAAGATGGAAAGCCCTGGTATTATGATATCCTACAGTATATTAAATATC